TTCAGTGTATTAACACGTTGAACGCCATGAGGGTCACCGGTGACTTCCAACCAAATCGAGTTACTATGGTACATTCAACCGAACGATGATTATTTGAAAAGATTTTTATATTATAAATAATACTGCATAATACGGTGACGTTCGGCTAGATGAACGTGCAATAATAAGAATGCAATGCAATCGTAATGATTTAATATTGTATTTTTCCATTTTGTGTATTTTGCTTTGTGAAAAGGTGGCATTCAACGTGTTAACCCTTTGCACTTGAATGTTTTTCAGTGGAAATATTCAATATTTCGCGATGAGATGTAGACGATGTTCTTTGAAATTAATTAGTGAGGGAAGATATGTAAATTAAGGAGGAAAGTTATTTTATTTCAATATTCCACATATTGATGCATCGTACAAAGTTCAATATTATACAATATATAAGACTTGATGGAGTAATAATAATAGTAAAATTATTATATTAATGAAGATGCTAGAGGTAATGATTGATATCAATCATGTTTCTCGATTTTAATGATAAGACTGTTTAATAATCGGGTTGAAGCTGTTGCAAGTTGACGTCGAACGAAAATACGAGAAGTCGGTCTGATTAATCGTTGATTATTCTACTTGAAGTTTATGGGAGTTACGTTTTATGGAAATACGATGAGAACTTGATGTAATAAATCAGACGCTTGTTTTATTTTGTGAGAATATGTATGTTTTCGTGTTGATTTTCATCTCGTCTGACCAATCGTTGACTATTCTACTTGCACTTTGCTTTTATACTTACAAGAGACATGCAATCAGTTAATTTCCCTGGTGTACATCATGGAAACTAGTAAGATCAAACGATTTACTATACTGAAGTTTCACGTGAAGAATTATCGTCGCGTCTGATCAGTCGTTGGCTATTCTACTCGCAGTCTCGAGTTTTGTCTTGCAGGGAACACGTCGGAACATCAGTCGATTTTGATGGTACTTCGGTGAAAAGCAATTCTTACAAGAATATTTGTCACGTACTTGCTTAATAGGTTGTCGTTCATATTAGAGAGAATTGCTCTCGAAATTGAGAGATGGAAACATATGTATTTAATATCTCACGAGATTCTTAATATGATTTTCAGATCATCAGGGACATGACCGGCAGCCATTACGTTACCAATGGCAGACTGAGGTTCAGGTTCGTCCAGCTGTTCTTCAACGCGGTCGCGCTGTTGATCATTGCTGGTGGTCTCGCAGTGTACTTCAAATGTGAGTGGAAATTTTCTTCGAACAGTAAAGTCGTTTGAATCTATAGCTCCATCTGGAACCTGGCGTCTTACATAATCAAGACGATTTAACTTAACTTATAACTCATATCAGTCGTAACTCAAATTGAAGAAACAACTTTAACTACAACATTTCAAATTTCCTATTTCTGTAATCCTGCGTTCATCAAAACCACAATCTGTTCTAGTACAATCAATTTTCACAATTGTCTCGAATAAATTACAAATTCTTATCCACTAGAAATTTTTTGCTTCTTTATTTTCAAACTTGAAACTTGAAACCAGTAACTAGAACATTTCAAAGTTCCAATTTCCCATTTCTATAAATCTGCGTTCATCAAAACCACAATCTGTTCCATTACAATCAATCTTCACAATAGTCTCGAATAAATTCTCGCATAAATTACAAACTCTAGTTCACTAGAAACTCTTCCCTTCTTTATTTTCAACCTTATAACTTGAAACTAGTAACTAGAACATTTCAATTTTCCCATTTCCATAAACCTGTGTCCATGAAAAATCACAATCCATTCCAGGACAATTAATCTTCACAGTAGTCTCGAATAAATTCTCGAATAAAGTGCAAACTCTAGTCCACTAGAAATTCTTCCCTTCTTTATTTTCAAACTTGGAACTTGCAACCAGTAACTAGAACATTTTGAATTTCCCATTTCTATAAACCTGTGTCCATGAAAAACCACAATCTGTCCCAGTACAATTAATCTTCACAGCAGTCTCGAATAAATTCTCGAATAAATCAGAAATTCTTTCCGTCTTCGTTTTCAATATCCAAAAGCAAAGCGCGAATTAACCAAAATCATAGCAGAATTCATACTGTAAACACGAGTACTACAAACGACTGAATAACACTCGACGGAACTGAGACGTGACCGATACCGCGTACCCGTCTACAGCTATTCATTTTTGCCGCACGCGGTATTACTCGTCACCGAGGAAACGTGAACGCCGGTGACGTTAGGCGATGAGCAATGCACGAGCACGTAGAACCAGGAGCTTTGTGGTAGCGAAAGATCAATAGAGCTCCCCGGTGGTGGCCCGTGTGCTACTCGGTTTCAAACATCAACACCGACTTCGCGGCGATACGCGACACTCGTTGCCAGCAACTTCTCTCTCTTCAGGTTGCACTTTCGCGGCGGATCACCGTCGGATACACGTCGACCGATATAATTGCTTTCGTGATCGCGTTTTAATCGGTTTCGCTGCTCGTACTTATCGATAATTGCTACTCGACGGATCATTATTATCAGAGAAACGGACGACGCGACGGGAACCGGGAAGAGATCGGTCGCGAGAGATTACTGGTAATCATGGATTTTCGAAGATGATCTGGAAATTAATTTAATCGGTCCTGCAAATGTATCAGAACTGATGTAGACGCTGGAGGATAACAGTTACAGTGTTAATATGCAAAGTGATACAGGAACCTCAAATCTTATACTATTAATCTATTTTTTATTTCAATTTCAGACAAAATTGGATATAGTGTATAACAGAAAATACTAATTAGACGTAAATTGTAACGAGACACTCAAATGGTAGAATTGTCTTCATCCCTGAACCAAATGACTAATTTATTTTGTAAATTAGATTTCAAACTGATGAAATAGAGAACTATTTTTTATTTCAATTTCAGACGAAATTGAATATAGTGTATAACAGAAAATAATAATTAGACGTAAATTGTAACGAGACACTCAAATGGTAGAATTGTCTTCATCCCTGAACCAAATGACTAATTTATTGTATAAATTAGATCTGGAACTAATGAAATGGACAACGATGCAATTCTACATAATGATAATGATTAATTTATATGATATGAAGTTTCGTATTTTCATGATAGTTACTGAGAATACAAATTTTGTACAATTATTATACTCCAGACAATAGGAAGGAGTCGTAGGCTCAGGATGAATTGGTAGCACCGGCAACGCGCAACCCTGTCGACAGGGGCTCGCCCGCAGAATTATTATTCGCGGCGCGGCGCGATCGTTAAGAGAGAAAATGTGGCTCGTTCGGTTGATTTAATGCCGGCGAATCGTTTTCACTCGGCGCTGCTCTACAGACCGTATTAGATAATCCGTGGACTAATTCTCGGACCATGGCCGACGTGTGTGCCCGTGTTACATAGTTGCACTGTAATTTATAGGTGTGAGTTGACCCCTTACATTACGAGGTCACCACTGGCGCGACTGTTTACAACGTTATTTTTAAACTAAATATTCGCACTTTAGTATTGTATACTTTTTACGAGCAGTCGTTTTATTAACACGCTCAAAATATTACAATTTTATTCGGTCCAATGAGTTTTCTAAGCGAAGTATCGAAAAAACTGGAACAAGTCATTAAGTTCCTAAATATAGCGTCGAAGCTTGTAACTTTAAATAACAATATCTATTAATAAGAATAAGATTAACCCTTTACACTCGAAAGTTTCTCACTAAAAGTATTCAACATTCTCCGATGAGAGACGATGTGCTTTGAAACTAATTAATGAGAAAACATATATAAATTAAGAACGAAAGTTACTTTATTTCAATATTTCATATATTGATGCATCATACAAAGTTCAGTATTATATAATATATGACTTTATAATTTTGCAAATCAAATCAAGTGGTGACTCAGAGTCACCTGAGAGACTTTGAAACTAATTAATGAGAAAACATATGAATTAAGAACGAAAGTTATTTTATTTCAATATTTCATATATTGATACACCATGTAAAGTTCAATATTATGTAATATATAAGATTTTATAATTTTTTAAATCAAATCTCTCGAGTGCAAAGGGTTAATTTAATTCGCTTTATGGAAAATATAATATTAATAGCGAACGTGTTAATAAAAGTGTAAACAACAAGTTCAATGAACCGCAAGTGATTCGTTTAAATTCAACGTAGTTTAAGATATCGAGGCATCGGTAGAAAAATCCAATCGAAGAACTGAGAAAACAATTATACCGCGAAGGGTTAATAGCCGAAGAAATCGTCGACAAGGAATTTTCCGAGCTTTCTCTTTCCTCATTCAATTGCTATTCTCGATTTCCAACGCTCGACCTTATTGCAGGACCGTTTAATTCCACTGCACCGTTGGAACAATTGTTACGATATTAACCCTTTGACTTATAACCTCGGAAGCCGGGCTCGGCGTTACACGTGGAGGTTTCAAATTGAATTTAATAGATATGAGAATGTAACTCGGCTCGCATCGATCGGTGGCAAATAGTATTTTGTAGTTACGAACGTCCCAACGTTTGCGCTGTGCGTATCCACGGTGAACAAGGAATTTACGATGCTGGGGAATTATTAGAAATAAAAGTATTGTAGTTCTTACTGGGAGAAGGAAACGCTGAGGTTCGTAAGAAAGATTTCACAATGTATTAAGCAAATAAAATCATTTTGTTCTCGGTTGAAATAAAGTACCTCTTGCTTATTAATTATACTTCAGTTCCATAATGAACCTAAACTGAGAGACAGATGGAATTTAATTTTCTAGCTAAATACAATTAAGTATTTTCTATGAGCATGATTGTGAAAGAGATAATTAGACAAGAGACTAATTTATTTATAGGAATTTTTGGTAGACAGTTTGGTACATTTAAAATCTTTAAGTAATTAGATTAAGATAAGTTAAAATACATTAAAAGAGGTCTTGATCTTTTTATATAAAGGAAGGAAAGGAAATGAGGATTTTTAGTCCATACGTAAATTAAAAAACAAAGCTATTTTATATAAATGTTTCACATATTGATGCATTATACGAAACTTAATATTACATATAACACTTTGTAATTTTGTTATATCGAATCAAATCGTGACTGATAGTCACCTCCCGAGTGCAAAGGATTAAATATTTGTAGTGAGAAACTTCCGAGTGCAAAGGGTTAATAGGAACCTCAATCGGTTCGCAACGAAACGCGAGCACCGCTGCTCAGCTAAACGACAATTCCTTAATCGTGACCGCGAAACGACACCGAAAACGTTGAATAATTGGTCGCCGTGTATCCGAGGAGTCGCACCTGCGGCTGACACGTGGATTTCGAAAACACGTAGCGACAATGTCAAGCGCAGGTGGATGTTTCGCGCGTCTGAATCGCTCGAGGTCGGTCGCGCGCTTCTTGGGGACTGGTTATCTAATTGATCGGGTTATCTATTGTTATCTAAGTGACTCAGCGGATTAAATTTCCAATAATTCAGAAATAGATAGGACGCTTCGGGAACCCGTGCCTCGGAGTCTGATTTATCGCGCAGTATTCTACTTTCAATGATTTTTATTTAGATCATGAATTTCTGAATTTTGTTTGTAATTGTTAGGGAAATTCCGTTAGGTTAACTATCTCTCCGATAGAAATTCTCAAGGTATTCACTGTGTTAACAAGATAACGGATATTTGTCTGAGAATCGAAGAAATTGATTCAGTACACTGAATTACAAATCGATTGAAGTCTCGATAGATGCACTCTCGAAGTTGCTACGGAGAAATTTCGGAAAGTCTGTTAGGTTCAGTGTTAAATGGTACGATTTCATTGTAACGTTCACATTCTGAATGCAGCGTATCCGGTGACGGTGATACGGCTGGAGAACAAAACGATCTACACGAACATGATCACGATGACTGAACGTGCCCCTCGGGTGATCGAGGAGAAGAACCCGGCGCCTGGTGTCTGTCTGCCTATCATAGTAACCTTTTGCAAGTACCACAAGGTAAACTCCTCCCCCGCTTTCTATCGTAGTTCGGCTCCTTCGGAGCGATTCCCAATAAACTTGCGAGGAATTCGTTCACGAGATTCCCGAGATTCGTCGAATCGGGTTAAAACAGTTCCCGCGTCGCGGTTGTCGATGCTCTAAGAGTCGGACCGTCGCATACCAGACGGAGAACGTATATCGGTGAGCAATCCGTGGATTTAATATAATAAAACTGTACCTCGAAACTTTTGTCATCCTCGATCGCTTCTCGCGGTACTCGCGTTATCCGGTGTAATGTCACTCGATGGTGCTGTCTCGAAATAGATTAGTAATCTCCATTTAATCGATAATTTTAGAGTTTCGAATTTTTAATCGTTGGTTCCGGAAAATTATTAATATGTTCTGTGCTACGGAAATTCTTGTTGTATTTTCTTTATGAACTGTATTGATTTTTTAACACGTTAAGCGCCAAAATCTTGATCGTTTTTCTATGGAGTTATTCTTTTGTAGTAAAAGGAACAGTTAATTATTTGGCGTTACAATCCTTGCATTAGACTATTATCAACTTAGTTTCGGTATTAACCATTTTCATTCGATATTAGTTATCTTAATGTTACGATTGTTATCAAGTAATTTGGACATGTCAGTCATTGATGACATGGTCCTTAACGTGTTAAGTAAAATATTAATTTAAATATTAATTTTTATATATTTTGATATAGTTTCTTTGCTTTCGATGCTTTGTAACGTATACCGGTATTCTTGAGCATGTGTCTCTTGAAAATATTTTCTTACAATAATTGGTGTGTACCATATATGGCACACGTGGCATTGAATGTTTTAAATAATTGTCGGTTGATAAAGAGCTAATGGTGAATGTGCGATCGTTGATTGGAGATAAGAGTAGATAATCGTTTTTATTGAGAGGTTTCAGTTATTAGAATTTAAAGAATTTATAGATTTTGAAGAAGACTGCTTTTATTGGTGACCTAACATTCTAATGCGTTTGTATATACAAGTTTCGAGGAAGTCACAGAGATACTTCTCGTAAGAAACACGAGGGGAAAGTTATGAAGTACAGCGACAAGGATGAGGATGCCGGGAAAGGCTAATTGAAATTACCTTTAACATTAAGTAATCATAACTTCGGAAGAAACGTACAAAGAAGATCGTTATCTATGTAGAGATCGCTATTAGCCGGTGAATAGTTTAATAATATTTGAGAAGATCAAATACCGAAGTTAACGGTGAAATCGTTATGGAAATGTTCCAGCAGAGATTTCATTTATTTAATAATCGTATTAAAAGTTCAACCCTGTGGACTCTTTATCTCGACGTTAATATTATTGTCTTCTCAATCAATTATCCCTAGAAATTTTGTATTAAATATCAAATATTAAAATAAACAACTTTCATTCATAATTTAATAAAAAGCAAGGGTTAGCATGTTCACCGGCATGGTGACATTGTCCAGTCCTTTCAAACTAGTTGAAAACAATTGGAATAAAAATATTGATATCAAATGAATATGTTTAATAACACGAATACCTATATAAAATTATATCGTCAGAATTATACCAAATGGTTAAGAAAAATTCTTTCTACTCACCTGTGCTACAAAATAATAATTAATATAAAACATATAAGATTCTCATAAGAATTAGCTCGTGAAAAATATCAAAACTCTGCGAATTTTATGATCTTCCATGCTCCTCGTTTCGAAAGCAAAATATTCAAAATTATATTTCAATTGATTATACAGGGTGGAAATTATAAAGCGTTACAGTCGAATATCTCCGAAAATATTGATTATACGCAAAAATGTTTCAGACGAAAGTTATTCAATACCGAGGGCGGCATCATGTGGTGAAATTTTATTTTTCCTGGTGGACACCCCAAGCTGAGATGAAGGTCAAATTTCTTTTTTTAAATAGAATAATACATATTTTTTATCCGCCATCAAATAGTGCGTTTTAAGACGAATTCAACGACCTATTACTCAAGGTCATTCAAGGTCAAACATGCAGGGAAATGGAGAAAAGGTGTGATTCTCTTATTTCCTATCCATCCATTTAAAAAAAGAAAGTTGACCTTCACCTCACCTTGGAAAAATAAAAGTTCCACTACATGATGTCCCCCTCGGTATTGAACAACTTTCGTCTGAAACATTTTTGCGTATAATCAATATTTTCGGAGATATTCGACTGTAACGCTTTGTAATTTCCACCCTGTGTAAATAAAGTATATTGATGTTTATTTGGATCGTTTCACTTCCATATTTAACCGTTTGAGTGCTGAGAAGCGCTTTTCTTGTGTTGTGCCAAAATTGCGGAGTTTATTTAAGAAACTGTTTATCAGTATCAATTATAATTTTTTTACTATATTCTTCAAGAACTAAATCAAAGTAAATTTATTCAAATAAATGTTACTTTTTGATACTTTTTTGTAACAACACAGTATTTGTGATCTCATTAGATAACTACTCTTATTAATGTTTTTTACACACCCAATCACTTCCGCATTTTTGGTAAATATCCACAAAAGTTGTTCAGCATCCAAACGGTTAATTACGAAACAACAACCGGTGACACGAGATAGCTGCATGGAATTGCCGGTCAACAGTGCGTTAATTGAAGACCGGTCCCATTCACGTGTGTCGTCTGTTGTCAATCGCTTCAGATACCGTATAATTTCACCGTTTTCCCGAACTACCTGGGCGATTGCGGGCAACGTGACGCTCAACGCGAGCTCGAGCATTACGATTCCGTGATAGACGTCAGATGCTACGAATTGGCGGCCCTCTTCCTCTGTAGCGTTTTCGTGCCGAAATGCGGATCCCAGGGCCAGCTCGTGCGACCCTGTCGCAGCCTCTGTTTCCGTAAGTAATCATCGTGCAACGGTAATCGATCCACAGGACCTTTGATCAACCGTCCCGCGCATAGAGCGAATCATAATTGAGCAAACATGATTTATTTGTGAACCGTTTATACCGTGCAAAGGTGTTTGATGCCAACAGCTGAAACCACAGATGAATATTCAGTCGAACAAAATGAAATTTACGATGAAAATTCAGTTGATCTGCTTAACACTAATCGTACCGGATTTAACCAGTTAACTGTATAGTGATAAAGTATTATACGTTTTCTTCCTTTATTAAAACAATTCGGTGTTCTGAAAATTAGCCGGTACGCGATGTGTTGACACTAGAACTACCGAACGAATCAAAATGACCCGTTCCAGATTTCTTCTTTTCGCGATTATTAAAAAACTAGCAGATTCTCTGGGGAGTTATTAAAGAAATTGATTTGACAATATGCAAATTTGACAATATCAAATTTAAAAAGAAGACACTCAATCATAAATAAAAGATTGTAATAAACGTAACCTTCCGTCTCCAAGGAATATTAATCAATCTTTTATTTATGAATGTAGCTACCTGGAATTTCAAAGACAATGAAACTTTCCTCTGAATTTACCCAGAAACCAAGAGACGCTGCGGCTTTTTCTTGGACGTGTTCGGACTGAGTCTCCCTGAGTATCTGGAGTGCGAGCTGTTCCCTGAGAACTCGAATCCCGACGAGTGCGTGGGTCACCAGGAAGTTCTGGATGCTGCCCGGAGAGCGGAGAAGCCCGGTAAGTGGAACGACGGTCTCGATCTTGTCTTCTTCGATCGGTGGAACTGGAATTCTACTCGCATCGTTTGGTTTCCCTGACGCACGCTGATTCCTTCGCCGACACGTTATCCTGTGATGCTATTCACATTTCTCTGGTACTAGAAATTTGAAGGGTTCTATTGATTGCAATTGGAAACTTGTAAGGTTTATTTAATGCAGCTGCAGAATTTGAAATATTTAAGTCATTAAAGTTTGTAACGGCAAAGTTTGGATAGTTCTGTTTATTGCGAGTGCAAGATTTGAAGGGTTCTATTGATTGCAATTGGAAACTTGTAAGGTTTATTTAATGCAGCTGCAGAACTTGAAATATTTAAGTCATTAGAAGTTTGTAACGGCAAAGTTTGGATAGTTCTGTTTATTGCGAGTGCAAGATTTGAAGGGTTCACAATTCTCTAGTACTACTGTTTTGTCTTTCAAATAAAGAAAATTGAAAATCGATACTCGAGAATAACCTAATAACCAGTATCGACCTCCTAATTTGTGTATCTTTGAAATATTATTACCGTCACTTTTAAATTAATCAACTTTATCAAAAAAGTCAGAAATTATAGTGTAACATCCACTCTAATTATCGTTAAATTCAACGAACTGAGAATATTCACACTAAAACTACCGAACAGTGATTTATTTCTAACTTCTGATAGAAGTTAGAACAATAGGTTTCTTGAGATTCGAAAGGTCTCCCAGTTTTGTTTCTTCGCGATCTAATTTAAAATCTTCCGCGAGAACACCTAATTTAAATAAGCAGAATAAAAATTCTCAGGTGACTCGATTTTACGTGAACAGTATTTTTAACGTTAACGATTCTATTGAAATCGAGATAGTGTTGTTGAGATATTGTTCTTCCAAATTTTATAACGAATCTGGTTGTTAATTTTGAAAGCGGCTTAACTCTATTCTTGGTAAGAAAACTATTATTCACTTAATAATTGCCATTACTTTAATAGAAACTATAAATTCAACTCCTTTAGGTACACTTAAGCAGTATGACTCATTGGTATCCTGTACGTACATTTTTAATTGCATCGAAACACAAACCCTTAAATATCTCAATTCAAGTATAAACGAACATAGGCCACTTTCAAAATAAACTGCTCATACAATCATTTAAAAGAAGTAATAAAATCGGCGATCTGAGAATAAAACTAGCTCCCAAGTATTCACCTCGAAACATTTAATTCCTCGGTAAAACCGTGAAAATGTCTTCTTCCATTAAACGCTTAATTCACTCTAATCACTGCAATATATAGAGCTGCTAGTTTATTTCTATAGAAATTCGAGTCTGATTCTAAAAATGCTGTAAAAGGAAGAACATTTTCAGAGACGCTCGTATTCCTAAAAACTTTTCGACCATCCCGCGAAGGAAGCAGGAGCTTCGAGGAAACGATTGACCGACGTAGAAAGAACGCGACGGAAACGAAGAGCGTGTCATTCGAACGAATCGACCGAGCGCCGCGAATCAGTCATTACGATACGAGGCGATCGGTTCGAGACGAACGCGGCTCTTTGTCCGCCGGTCACGGGCGCTTCGTCATTCTCGTTCAAGGACTCGGCTGCCATTTATCCGGCTCCTTCAGCGGGGATAAGCCTACTGGATAAAGTCCGGGCATTTGATAAAGAGCTGGATAATCGTGGGATTAAAATAATCTCACCGGGACAGCCGGACGACGCGCGATGGAATACTTGCGCCCGAAAGCTGGCGAAACGTCGATTACGACGATTTCGTCTGACATTTTTGCTCCCCGGAATAGCTGAGTGTACGAAAACCGATGTACCAAGGTTTCTTTCGTTCGCAAAACGCTGCGGTTCGCTAAAAGGGAACATAACGTAACGACTTTCTCTCAGTTTTCCAAGTTATCTTGCGCTTATTAACCCTGCGGCTCTAGCGAGAAAGCATGCGCGGAAAATACGAACGAGCTGCATGCGTTCGGATGACTCCAATGATTAATCGCCGCGTTCGATGCACTTTCTCTTGCCGACGATGAATTCGATCAATCGAGAACCCCGTGCTGAACACTTTGTTACTCTTATGGTTGTCGGAACTGTCTTCGGTTTAAACGAACATTCTCTCCATTTAATTTACAACTAGAATCATTATTGTGGTATTAGTGGCATTTGAATATGTTTTATTTAAAAAATAACATAGGAATAGATTGAATAAAATACAAATGAATAGAAACGATATAGCTCGCAGTGTACGGGTCTTTTCTCTTCTCAGGTCAACGCAACTCTCTACAAAATCTCTCGCCATCCGCACTTAACCCTTTGCACTCGAGAGGTGACTCAGTCACCACTTGATTTGATGCAGTGAAACTATAAAATTTGATATTTAATATTGAACTATGTATAATGCATCGGTGTGTGAAATATTGGAAAAAAAAGCTTTGTTTCTCAATTCACTCGTGATTTCTCTTTGAGTTCCTTTGACACTAGAACTACGTACCAATCAAAATGACTGGTTTCGATTCTTTTGTTTAGCAATTATTGATATCTTCGAAGCATTGAATATTCGAAATGAGTTTGAAAATAAATAGCTGCATTTGAGTACTATGAGTGTCTGAAGAAACTGAAAATAATCTATTGTTACAATTTTTGTGGCAGTTGCATATTGATCGTATTAAATGCTCGGTAGTTCTAGTGTTAAAGAACATCGTCTTTGTCTAGTTAGAAAATGTTAAATATAGCGAAATACTTCCTAGTGCAAATGGTTGATCGTTCCACTCCACTACACTATTTATAATATTAAATATTTTCATGAGCAAAGTGCAATGATCTTATAGTTTCTTCAACTTGACTCATTCTTAATGAAGATTGCTCGAGTTGTTAGTTAATCAGTTTATGAAGTTCTAAGGATTAACGATTTCTATATACAATCATTTCAGAATTAAAGTAAAATTTATAAAATTGAATGGTTGAGTAAAGAATGTAAGACAGTGGAAGACATTTTATAAATTCATTAGATCTTCGGGAGTCGAAGATCGTCGAAGACGTAGGAGTGCGGAACAATCGGTTGGATGACTCTCCGTACGAGGGAAATAAATCTTCGTGGAATTCTAAAGGGGTGGAGTGGAAAAACGAAGGACCAAGGACTAGGGCTGCCGGAACAATGGGAACCGGAAATATTTATACGACTTCGACGATGATCTTTTGTTTAACCGCACTGCCAACGCCTTCGTCAGTTATACCGATTCACCGGAGCGAACCAGACCAATTGCCGACTAACCTCCTCCAAACCCGATATCCATTGTTTGCCTTCCCATCGGCGTTCACGACTCTTTTGTTCCGTTCGTTTGTTCCTCCCTCTTCGCGGAACGGTTTTTCCCCCTCATTGTTGACCGGCCTCCGCGATTCGGTTCTAACGCGGAATCAAGCCGTGTCGATTTCCCGATCGTTCCGAATCTAATGGCTGCGTTAAGGCACCCAGTTGCTGCACGAGCTTCTTCGCGATGATCGCCTGATTTATATGAATAATTTTCGAGAGGACCGAAGAATTCTTTCGTCGTCGCAAGTGAAGGACTTTGAAGGGTTTGTTCATTGCAAGTGGAAATCTTGGAACGATCTGTTTTCGCGAATGCGAGATTTGAAGGGTTCTATTGGTTACAATTGGAGACTTCGAAGGTTTATTTATTGCAGGTGCAGAACTTGAAATATTTAAGTCATTAGAAATTTTTAATGGCAAAATTTGGATGGGTTTGTTTATTACGAGTGCAAGATTTGAAGGGTTCTATTCATTACAATTGGAGACTTGGAAGGTTTATTTATTGCAGGTGCAGAACTTGAAACATTTAAATCATTAGAAATTTTTAACGGCAAAATTTGGATCGTTCTGTTTATTGCGAGTGCGAGATTTGAAGGATTCTATTGGTTACAATTGGAGACTTGGAAGGTTTATTCAGTGCAGGTGCATAACTTGAAACATTTAAATCATTAGAAATTTTTAATGGCAAAATTTGGATCGTTCTGTTTATTGCGAGTGCGAGATTTGAAGGATTCTATTGGTTACAATTGGAGACTTGGAAGGTTTATTTATTGCAGGTGCAGAACTTGAAATATTTAAGTCATTAGAAATTTGTAATGACAAACTTTGCATGGTCCTGTTCATTAGAATTACAAAATTTAGAAAGATCTCTTCATTGCAAAATAAGAAGCTAAAAACATGGGCAATAACGAAATAGTCTTCCAATTCTCCCTGTGTACAGCAAGTAACATTGATTTCCATTAAATTGTTCTAATTGCTATTATACGACGAGGGGTTAATTGTCCCGGTCCTGTTTATTGCTTCGTTCTCCCGGCTCCCCGGGACTCTCCGAGAGTGCTCGATTCGGTCATCGGAACCGTTGCGATATTATTCGCGATTGATCGGACCGATGACCGTAATTCGATACGTTTGTCCGTGTCGTTCGCTATCGATAGACTGGCTCGACCAAAAGAAAATTTTATACGGAATTAATTATTAAAACAGATTTCTAATGCAATTAATTACGAATCATTATTTGCACGAAACCAATAATGTTATAAAGCGATAATATCGCCCGGATAACCGATCGTGCGATTGCATTATCCAAACGTTTAATGGTTTCCTTTGGTTCCACTCGACAGATAAATCAGTAATTATGATTTCGCTGCTGGAATCAATCAACAGAAAACAATGTCCTTTTAATAACATTCACTTCAATAAAAAGTATTCCACTCTAAAGTCAGAGTTCAAATTTCATTGTCCTAATCGAATCAATTCGCTGAAACCCCTAATTCTCTTTGATTTCGTTCATACAGTAGTATAGGTCCGGTTTGGTCAGACACACTGGTAAATTTATTACACCGAATACCAGGCGATTTATGCTTAACTCACACTGTTTAGTCAATCAAATACGCGATTCAAATATAATTCCAACCCTGAACTCTAATCTATAAGTTGAATACACTTCGAATGTGTCCTGATTACGCGTTCACTATTTTCAAAAGAAACTAACTTCTTCCAATCAACTTCTTCGTTTCACCATTCAACGTGTTAAACGATTAGCAGTCGAATCACGGGCGCAATTAACCGCGGAAAGTGTCGGCATCGATCCCGGCCAGTGCGGGCGACGCAATCGAGGATCGATCGGTGGCTAATAAACCGATTCATTTACGCTCGCGGTTAATTAAGAGTAAATTGCGCGCTGATTACGTGCTCGCTGCGATCGATACTACCTGGCTTCGACGAAAACGCCGCGTTGCCCTCTCGTTTCCGCGTGTTCGGCCTCGCTCCTCGCGTTCCGCCGACGATATTTTAAAAGCTGCTCCGCTTCTGAAACTCCCGCGCCGCCCAAGCCGAATTTACCGGCGCAGCGGCGGCCGAAAACGACGCGGCCGACACGTTCCTCGGAGTTAATGGCCACTTCGACTCACGAATTTAGTACCACGCCGAGTGTTACCTTAACTCTTTCACCGAGTCGCCGTTTTCTGGTTTACATTCGAGCCGCTTTCTTCGGTTTAACGCTGCTCCCGGAGACGCATTACAAGCGCGTTTCCCTTTTAACGGTCAGAACTAGCTTCGAGGTTGGCATTTGGTAGTTATGAATTCACGAAGCTAGGGGAAAACGGAGACGTATTTGAACTAGTCAGTTTTTAATATGGAATTCAACTATGCGATCGAATAATGGAAGTGTTTGTCGTTTGACTGGGGTGTTACTTTTAGTTGCTCTCATTAGAAATTTGAAAGCCTCCGAAGTTAAATGCGAGAATATTTCATCCAATATTTTGTGAATTCAGTAAACTAGGAGGAATACGACGTGACAATTGCTCATGTTTACATATAGAATTCAATTATATGACTAAATACCAAAAAACTATGTTCTTTTAAATATACTATATTTTATTACAATCTTACTTGAACGAAAATTGTCTAAAGAAAATGAAAAACGAGAAACATATTTTTTCCAATATTTTGTGAATTCAGGAAACTAGAAGGAACAATACGCCCTGACAATTGCTCGTGTTTAAATATAGAATTCAATTATATGATTAAATACCAAACAATTTTGTTCCTTTAACTATACTATATTTTATTGCAATCTTACTTGAACGAAGATTGTCTAAAGAAAATGAAAAACGAGAAACATATTTCATCCAATATTTTGTGAATTGAAATACCAAAAAACTTCGTTCCATTAATGCCACTATTCTCAATTAAAATATTGCTCGAGCGAGAATTGACTAAGTAAAATAATTTTCCGTTGTTGCGCCGTTGTTGCAAAGGAACACCGATGTTATTAAAATTTCTCGAGTAGAAGAGTGCTGCCCATGAGGTCCGTACGAAATTTCAATGAAGAGAATGCCTCGGAATTATGTAAACGACCGGCATCGAGCGTGTGACGCCGGTACGCGAACGCGTATTGGTGTGCGCATCAGCTTACATTACGATTCCGCGTACCTGCGTGATACATCGCACGTGCCGCCGCTGATGGGACCTTAATTGCAAAATCTATATTAAATGATCAGGCGACGGGCAATTTTCCGCGCCGGGACGCTTTATGGAGCTCACCATCGACCGGCTGCACGTCTCGCGCCGACGTCGTTAGACGTTTCCACACGTTCAGGCATTTATCAAACACGTGTGAACACGGGAACGATAACTTCGCGGCCGGAGAAGTTGATTCAGCGTGCGTGCAGTGACTTACTTCCAGTTCTTCGAACATTCTTTCATAAATTCTTGGGAATTCTCGAAATTTCTCTCTTAAGAAGGTTTACTGTCATGTAGGTTTAACGATGTTGGTAATATTATACTTTTTAGTCGATTTAATATGAGTGAATTATAGTAGTAAATGATAAATTTACGAATTAAGTGTCTGATATTAGTAAATTATCAATTTAACAATTAAATTTTTAGTATTAGTAAACTATAAATTTACCAATTAAATGATCAATTTACCAATTAAATTTCTGATATTAGTAAACTATAGATTTACCAATTAAATTTGTGATGTCAGTAAGTTATAGATTTACCAATTAAATTTCTGATATTAGTAAATTATAGATTTACCAATTGAGTTTCTGATATTAGTAAATTATAGATTTACCAATTGAATTTCTGATATTAGTAAATTATAGATTTACCAATTAAATTTCTGATATTATTAAATTATCAATTTACCAATTAAATTTCTGATATTAGTAAATTATAGATTTACCAATTAAATTTCTGATATTAGTAAATTATCAATTTACCAATTAAATTTCTGATATTAGTAAATTTGATACTTATATTGCATATCTAGCAATACTTTAACATTACTTTCATATTTATTTGTTATTTAACATGTGTATATACTTCACCAAGGTTCTCAACGAGTCTCGACGACATTTAATTCATTATCAGCGTATTCCCTGGTGCCGTTCTCCATAAAAAATTCCCTATTCAATTTTGGATATTTATCCCGCAATTATTTCGCACGTTCAAAGGGACACATGCGTGCCGCAGGCGGTCATAAAACGCGTTTGAGCTGCGCTAAATACTAAATGATCATAAACAATGCGGTTTAAATTCTCTTTTCGCCAGCGTGCGTTAACGAACCGATATTTATACGAATCTGTGAAAAAATGCATATCTAAAATAAAAATGATTTATTTTAATCGTTGATCTTCTAGGAAAAGCAACCACGAGACATAGATTTCGATTTAAATAACATTAACCAATACAAAAATCCAATGAAATATTTCATTTAATATAAATTTTCAAGAAAAACCTTATTCTCTCCTTTCCGACTTACTTTTTCTCATAGAATCGTTTTATATTCGATTGTATCGTTAGTTATGGTTCACCCTGTATAAATCTCGTAGATAGTTCGAGAAAACTGCGAACGAACGGAAATTCGCGCGAAACGGATAGGAGTTTGAGCGTTAGGTGCGTCTGATACCTGTTTTCTTTACGCTGCGCAGTATGCACCAGCGGTTTCCAATGCGACAGCAACAGATGCATTCCGGTCGACTGGCGATGCGACGGTCATTTGGACTGTGCCGATCACAGCGACGAGATGGGCTGCGGGGACTGCAGCAACTCGTCGACGAGCACGGTGCTGAACACGAAAATCGTGAAGAAACCTATCCTCGCGAAGAGCAACGTCTCGAAGTCGCCTTGGTACTGCGGCGAGAGACGGTGCATGTCGTCCAGCCATTACTGCGATGGCGTGATGGATTGTCCGTGGGGCCAGGACGAACGTTTCTGCTGTAAGCGGAGCTTTGGACATATCCTATTCATTCACCAAATGAACTTCGCGAAGTGAAAAAGAAAGAGGAATAGAAATAATTAGGAAGAGTAAAAAGAAGAATAGAAGTAATTAGGAGAAGTATAAGATAAATAGAAGTAATTAGGAAAAGTAGAAAAAGGAATAGGAATAATTAGGGACAGTAGAAAAAGAAATAGAAATAATTGGGAAGAGTAGAAAGAGGAATAAAAATAATTAGGAAAAGTATAAAATAAATAGAAATAATTAAAGAAAGGTAGAAAAATAAATAGAAATAATTAGGAAAGGTAGGAAAATAAATAGAAATAATTAGGAAAAATAGAAAAGGGAATAAAAATATTTAGGAGAAGTATAAAATAAATAGAAATGATTAAAGAAAGGTAGAAAAATAAATAGAAATAATTTGAAAGAGTAGAAAAATAAATAGAAATAATTGAGAAGAGTAGAAAGAAGAATAGAAATAATTAGGAAAAGTAGAAAAATAAATAGAAATAATTAAAGAAAAAGGAAAAATATAAAGTGCGTTGAAATGATATGGGTACCTATATAAAAGAGCAATTAACGTTTTGCTACTACTATCTGAAAATATTTAATAAAAATCTGGTTACTGACTTTGACGTATGAACCGTTCTTACATTTTTCTCTTCACGTTCCAGTGAGGCTTAGCCAAAAGAATGGGGACGTAGGTGAGGGACGTCTGGAAGTTTTCCACGCGGAGGTCGGAAAGTTCATGCCGGCTTGCATCTCGCACTGGGAGCCGAACTCCGCCAAAACGATTTGCTCTATGCTGGGATACACGTAAGGATTTCTTCCTCGCATTTGCAACGATTCATCTTCCTTCTGAACATCACTTCCCTAAAATAAATCTTCAGGGACGTCGTCTCTCGTTTTCTTTATTCAAAGCGGGACGATGCATAATTCTGCATACATTTCCTCTTGAGCACGCCAAATCGATTAGTCGACACTAAAAATTCCAAAATGAAAACTTCCTTAATTTCAAGATCAAACTGCTGACAGAAAAATGTTTAAAACTAAATTCTCCAATAATGAACATCTTATACAAGGTGTCGGAACGAATATTTCCTAGTTAAAAAGTTAAACAGCTGAACTGGTATCATAAAACGAAAGCTTTCCGGCCACTGAACCATGAAGCAAAGTTCGAGCTGTCAGAGGCAGACAACCTGCTCGCGATATCAAATATCTGTTCTCCATTCTTCGAAGATCAAGTGTCCAACGCAGGACTTTCTGAAAGTGTATCTCCGAAACTGGTGTCGCGAGCAAGCCTTTCCTCTGTTTGTTCCAGAGTGACGAACTCGTCGACGTTGAAGACGCACGACATCAACATCACGCAGAGGGACAGCAACACGCCCCAGTCGAATCTGTTGAAGGAATTTCAGGAATGCATCACTGATCAGGCGGCTTATCCTACAGTCGAGCTCACGTGCTCGGAATACGGTAACATATTGTAGCATCTAGAATATTTATTGTAGGATGAATGGTTTGTTGTGCGTGCGTAAGGGCGACCATTTCTTAAAAGACATCTACAAAAGAATGGAAAGTTTAGAACATTAAAATCGATTTATTTGTTTCTTGCAAATTATATGAAAACAAAGCTACTTACCACTTGTGTCTTCAATAATGGCATTGGTGAATTTTAACTTAAAATGAATTTTATATATTAATAGATTGTTATCAAAAATAGGAAATAATATTTTTGAATTCTTATAAGTATGAATTATTATTACAAATATGATTAGTTCATAAGAAATTCACCAGAATGAATGGCCACACAGGCAGAGAATTTAGTTCAATAATGACTCGATTAATAATTAAATAAGATGAAAATATAGATAAAATAATGAATCGAATGATTAAATGCATACTCGTTAATGACACAGCTTGTGGACGAAGGAAACCAGTTTATGGGAACTCAAAAGTGCAGACGAGGATCGTAGGCGGCGTCGAATCGGCGCCAGGTGATTGGCCATTTCTGGCTGCCTTATTAGGCGGACCTGAACAGATCTTCTACTGTGCTGGAGTCTTGATAGCCGATCAATGGGTTTTGACAGCGTCTCACTGCGTCGGGAAGTGAGTCCAACTTATTTTTATTATCCTTCGAACTCGTCCACTGAATAGATCGACTATGTATTTCGAAAATAGAAAGCAATTTTACGTATATATCCACCGGACTGTTCGAGCTTCTTGATTCCAGCCACTCCGACGTAACTGGCTGGATGATTCAGTTGGGAATAACTAGGAGACACTCTCATACCTATTTTGGACAGAAGTTGAAGGTGAAGAGAGTGGTGCCTCACCCAAATTACAATATGGGCATCGCTAACGACAACGATGTGGCTCTATTTCAGGTAAACAATTTTTCTGTTCAACCTTTTGGAATCGAGAATCACTCTTGTTTGAGGAAGTACTACAGTATTATAAATAGCGAATAAAGTGAATAGACAGTGAAGTAAATTAACCCTTTGCGGACGAGGATTCTCTAAAGTGTACAAAACCTTTTGTAGATTCTACCAAATCGCACATCGAATGCCTAAATAATATAGAATAAGGAAATTATGTACTGGTTTCTTACTGTTTGAGTATTTGAATCATTTGTTTGCAACTTAATATTACAAACATGACAGTTTGATCTCGACAAAGTGTCGACATTCGTCTGCAAAGGGTTAAAGAGAAGTAATCTCTTACTAGCTGATTTAATTAATTCTGATTGATTATGTTTTTTAAAAAATATTATTTCCTTGGTGTTTGTCAGTTGGAGAAACCAGTTCAGTTTCACGATGACTTGAGACCAGTCTGTTTGCCATCGGCCGACACTCATCTCGTACCTGGAACGCTCTGCACTGTTATTGGCTGGGGCAAGAAGAATGACACCGATGGTACGTACTGTGCTTGTAGTCTTGGGTTCAACAGGATTTGAGTGATAGTTGAACCTTATAGCGTCCGAATACGAGCCTGCAGTGAACGAGGTACAGGTTCCAGTCTTGAACAGGGAGATCTGCAATTCCTGGTTCGCCTCCAGGGAGTCCAACGTGACCGATGGAATGATTTGCGCTGGGTATCCGGACGGTGGTAAAGACGCGTGTCAGGTATATTTTTGGAATTTTGTCTAGAAATTTGGCACTGTTTCAGTCTTGAACATCTTGAGTTCGAAGCTTGTTTAACCCTGAAGTTGTCAATATTTGAAATTTAATTTTAATTTAATAAAACGTTTTCATATCTTGAAGTAACTAAATTTGAAGCCTTTTATCATCACAAGCATTCCAAAAGTGATATATTTTCACATTTTTAAACATACAAACCTACAAACTTCTAAACCTCCAAACCTTGAAACTTTCAAACCTTCAAACCTTTAAAGTTTTAAACCTTCAAATTTTCAAATTTTGTAACCTTGAAACCTTGAAACCTTGAAACTTTCAAACCTTCAAACCTTTAAACCTTCAAATTTAAAAATGTTCAAACTTTGAAACCTTGAAAGTTTGAAACCTTGAAGCTTTGAAACCTTGAAACCTTGAAACTTTCAAACCTCCAAACTTTCAAACCTTCAAACTTTCAATCCTTCAAACTTTGAGCCCTCTAAACCTTCAAACCTCCAAACCTTCAAACCTTTAAACTTTCAAATTTAAGAATTTTCAAACTTTGAAACCTTGAGACTTTGAAACTTTGAAACCTTGAAACTTTGAAACTTTGAAACTTTGAAACCTTGAAACTTTGAAACCTTGAAACCTTGAAAGTTTGAAACTTTCAGACCTCCAAACCTCCAAACCTGCAAACTTTCAAACTTTCACAACTCAATCGTCAACTACTTGTAAAATCTGTAGTTTCTTTCTCCAGACTGTTTACATCTAATGACCCTAAAAGCTATCACCTTCAATTCTATGCACCTTTCTAATCAACAGGGCGACTCTGGAGGTCCGTTGCTCTGCCCAGACGAGAACGACAGAGACAGATGGATCGTAGGTGGCATCGTAAGCTGGGGAATAAGGTGCGCCCACCCTAAATTGCCAGGAGTCTATGCCTATGTCCCGAAATACGTGCCATGGATTCGCAACGAAATGGCAACGCACTCCGACACAATTATGGGCTAATTGGCCCATCGAAAACCAGGTTGACATCGACCGGAAAGATTTGTAAAATCATCCGATCACTTGCTAATGACTAACTGAACGTAAGACTCGCAGATGCGTTAACTTAAGACAATAACTTTAACGACAATAACGTACGATATATATGTGCTAATTAAGCCGTACCGATATTTACGAAACTAATGACAATACGAATTGATCGAGATTCCAGCGGACGTGAACAAGAGAATTTTTCAACTCTCGGTTCTTAGTTAAGATAGAGATTCTGGGTCAGGTTCTTTCCTATCCGAGGACGTGTACCTTTTTACTATTCTTACTGAGACTACTGCAATCTTGTTGCAACGACAATAATACGACAATATCGAGAACAGTGTGCTCCAAAGATTCTCATACTATAGTCCGCAAGAAAGAATACTGATCTCCAGAATATACAGAAGCCTAGCTGCAAACAAGAATATCAAAGATTATGAAACATAATCAGAGAAATCAATTGTTCGGTCCTACGATCGCTAAAGTAGCGATTGATCGATGTGATCGTAAGATCGGCGCAAGACGGTCGACATAGAATTTAATAAAATCAAGATTCACCAGATTCAAGTACAATAACTGCTGCAACAAGTATATAGATTCTTATGTTCAACTACCAGGCACCCATTTTGTAATGATTAATCAAATAGAATAAATCTGTGTCGATCGACTTACAAGAATCTTACGATAAGATCGAAGATTTTATTGATAGCAGAAATACAATAAAGTCGATGGGAATTGTAAGTTTTTAACCAGTCATTGAAAACTTCTAAAGGAGGCTCGAATGATTCGGATCTGCATAATCCCTGGTCCGATTAGTAAGAAACTTAATTAAGCGCTAATAAGCAGAGATGAATTAAGAGAGGACGCATTAAAATACTGTTAAACGGAAGTCGGGGCCCGCGGGTCGGACGAAAACCCGTCGAACAGTTCGCCCTCGCCGCCATTTTGTAGAAAGTCCGTTCACGCGAACGGGGGAAGCAGAAAACGATAGAAAACGGGACAAAAAAAAAATGAAAAAGAAATTGTCGTACCCACTGTTGGTAGCGAGACTTCCGAGGAAGCGGAGAACGGGAATTACTGCTGCGTACGTGGGTTTCCGCGAACAAAACGAAAATTCCGCATTTGATGCGACAAAAAACAATTTTTGTATCGCCGTCGGTTTTTTGGGGGAGTCGCGTACATGTGCCACCAAGTGGTCGAACAATCACGGTTCAAACGTTGTGCGTTCGATACTCATCGGCGTCGATGAGTTTTTCATTGTTTAAACGAACTCGTTAGCGGTTGGACAGAGGTCGAATGTATTTTCGGAGACGCCGACGAACACTTTAACACTTTCTTTCGCAACTCCGTTCGAATTGTTTTATCGTTGACAATTTACCAGAAGCGACAGAGAATTCTATGTTCTTTTCGCGTGTACGTTTACTGGAGGGATGAAGAATTCATGATAGAAAAATAATATTTGACGTCGACTCGAAGGAATAAATATTTGCTAATCTCTGGAGTCTTTGTCACGAGTCTGATACGATGTTACAATAGAAGGGATTAAAGAATTAAAATTTACTGAGATACGTTACAGTTCCGACGATTCGTTTTTGCAGAGGAAAATGTGGAAGTGACAGATTTTGTTGATCGACTAGAGAACAGTGAATTCTGTACGTGATTCAACGAACGCACACCCGGTGTAGGTGAAATGTGCATGTAATGCATCAGATGTATTTGTGTACTAATCGTAGGAGTTTTGAATAAGGATAGGTACGTAAGGGTTTACAGTGTTAAGAGTAATCGAGGTGTAACTAAGAATACCTGTGTGTTTCTTAATGTAATTGTAATTCTATGTCTAGAATATTCGTGTGTCAATTGTATACTGACACGAGGCACGTGGTGTGCGTATTTGTAAGCAGGGATATATATACCTACATATACATACGTATATTAATATTCATTGCGACAATACTTAACCGTATATAGCTAATTACTGGGCTGAGCAAACAGTATTACATCTTTCAATTAAAGAGACATTAATAGTAATTGTTTCCAAGAGAAACTTCGAATTATTTCATTCTATCTTGATTGCAATGATTATTTCACTGAAAATTTAATATGTACGTTAGCAGTAATTCGACAATTGATATACAGATAGAGAATTTTAACTCCATTTTGATTTTGTGAAAATTGCTCGGCTCTTAGGAGAGTTCGAAAAATATACGTACTAGCATGGTAATCACACGTTCGTGTCTCGATCACTTTCGTCGGAAGCGAACGACGGAAGTGCACGGGACACGATCGTTAGCATTAATCGAGCACTACGCTGCTTGTAGTTTCTCATTAGCGCACCTGCAAACCCTAGCTTAGGATTAGGAACATGTTGACTGAATTCTAGGGACAATACTCTGCACCAGCACTTTTTTGATCTGCACAGAAATGGTAATAGTTTTTAATGGGACGAGTATACTTTGTACGATGTATATTGTTTACGGGAACTAGGAGCCTTACTAATTGACTTAGACTTTTTCTAAGGGGTAAGAATAGCGGTATTGTTGGTCCAGACAATAATCTCTATCGTTTCCTGTCGCAGACGTTCTTCTTAGATTTCCGTCTCGGAGGCCGTTCTCCAGGTGAAAAATCGTTTTTCAACCCGAAACGATCGAACTCGATAATTATTCTTCGTAAAAGATCCTTCGCAGACTCGAGAATATTTTTCGAAGCCTTAGCAGCTTACGAACAAGAGTTTTTCTTTCTCCTCAAACCGCTTCGCAGAAGCTCGAAGCTTGTTAACCGTGAAACAATTAATTTCCTTCGAAGTGGGAGTTCTCCATGAAAAATGCTAGACGACAAATGTCTTCCTTAGTATCCAGACAACAGATAGTCGTAATCGAGGCGTAATGTAACTAATAATAACCGACAATACTGTGTGAACAGACAATAAATAATTTTAGGAAATGTTCCAAGACGGACAATAAAGGTAGCCAATAAGGTCTTAGAGTTAATCGATTAGCCGGTAAGGACTAACGTTTGCATGTGATTGTTACATAGTTCTCGTGCAATGATCGCTATCGTCGTTCTAAGTAGGAGTCCATGATTTGTGCGTGATTCTCGCGGAAAAGCGACGCGGGGAACATCTTCAGCCAGGTTACGTTACGATGCTCTAGGTTCTCCTTATATAAATGAGAAGAACGAGAACAATGATGCAAGCTTTCGAATACAGTTCGATCGATGCGATATTTTCCGTAGGTTCGGTTAGGTCGAGGGAAGCTTAGTCGAACGATCGAGAGAAAAACGAAATAAGGAGAGAGGTGTAGCCACAGCAAATCGGACAATCAGGAAAGCTAGAACGTTTCCGAGCGAGATATTTTTCTAAAGCGTTGAAATAACTTCAGAACAAAGCTGCTGATTCTGATTTCCCTTGAAAAATCACTTCTTCGCGACTGTTCCCGAACGTTTCGATTTTCCACTCGAAGCAGACGATGATTCTTGGATAGAGTGTACAAAATATGTACAAGGTGTCCCACTAACACTATTAAAATAAGATATATATCTCCATTATTTTTCACAGTATTCAGATCTTGCAGAATAGTTAAAGGAAGAATTATTTACATAATATCCCTTCTAAATAACACCTCTAACATTTTACGTAGCGGGACACCTTGTATATATGTAATCCTGTGGAACGTAATTATAACGATAAAATAATGTTGAAACGATTCGTACGTTTCGTAGAGGGTTTCGTTCGTGCTTTCGTTGTCGAGGGAGGTTTCATTTTTCGCGCGATAGACTTTTCTATATTTTTTTACGACGATCGATTTTAGGTACGCGTAGGGGAGAACGTTCTCGAGGTACGAGCACGGGTCTTTCGTTGTTTAGCAGATTATTTTCGGGAGTGTTTTTCTAACGCGAGACCGAGTTTACGAGTCAATACTTGTAGTCAATTTAGGAGTAGGCATTATTTCGCGTCTAGGGCTCGAGGGCTGTAATGTTCGTACATGTAAGTACGCGGAACCCTCGGGTTACCCGCTGCCATTCACTTTTCCCTGATTGGATCCTCGGTTTCGTTTCTCCTTCCTTTTCTTCCGATTCGATTCGTCAAAGAGCCGCGATACTGGCACAAGTCGACGGGAACTTTTAATTAATTTTCACGAGATCCCTTTGTCTCCTATTTTCTACACTCTTTTCACTCTTTCAGTTGTTTGATTTCTTCAGTTTCTTTAATGTAATCATTGTTTTTAACCCTCTGCACTCGGAAATTTTTCACTAGGTATATTTTAACATTTTCTGACGAGATACAGACAATATTTTGTGAAAGTCGAAGTCACATCGAGGAACGAAGTTATTTTATTTCAACATTTCTCAAATTGATGCATTGTTCAAAGTATAATATTAAATATCAAATTTTATGGTTTCACTGTATGAAGTCAAGGGGTGAGTCCCCTCGAGTGCAGAGGGTTAATTTAATTTGTTTCATTTCATTCATTTCTAAAATTTTCTTTTATTATCTGTCTTATTGGAAGAGTAACTGTTCTGTTAATCCCCTTAAAAAATCTAATCAATTCGAAGGTTCAGTTTATCCATCGGCTTTCTCGTTTGACTCGAGGGCGACGCGAAAAGCTGCGCACAAAATAAAGGTGTCCCCAAGGGAGTCGCTCCTCTTCGGAAGATACTTGGTAACCGCATACCTACTCCTGTGAAGTCAATGTTGATTAGCGAGATAATAAGCTACGTGTATTCATTAAAACAGAGAACCTAACGATAAGAACGTTACACCGTAAGTTGTTTAAAAAATAGCGTGTATCACCGTAAAACGCGTTCGGATTCTGATCTCGAACGATTTATATAGGAATTTACGTGGATTCGAGGCGGAAGTTCGAAAGGGTAGAGTTCGAACATTAAAGACACCGCAATGTCGAGTGCGAACGAATCGAAGGTGAATTCGATTCGGAGATAATTCTACGGATTAAACAAATGATACTGAAACGTCGCCAGAGCATCAATACAATCTCCACTGAGCTTGATGAACGATTATCAATTATTTATCGATCGTGCTAGATCCAGAGCCGACGAAATTGTACGTCAATTCAGAGTCTAACGTTAGGGCTAGGTTCCTGTTCGCGCGTACGCGGGTTGGGGGTAAAACAAAAGTATTTTATTCAGTCTAACGATAAACGATTAGAGAGGGAAGGATTAAGCTTAATGTAATCTAGGTATACGTGTTCTGTGGTCCGGAATATAAATTCTCATCAGTTTCCCCTTGCTCTCTATAGACAGATTTCTACCTGAAACAGACAAACATTTTCAAACTTTAATTATTCCATCGAAAAGTTCGTTGTCCATCGATACTCCATCGAATAGCATCGGTTCGATTGAAATTTCTCAAATGATTTCCTTTTTCGTTCAAGATGCGACGCACGGTCGCGCGATTACTAATTAATCGAATAACCAAGATGAATGTGCGCACGCATAATTAGCCGCGTGTCGACGACGCATTTATACGCTACGTGTTTCGCTCCGCGTCCTATTCGACTGAACGGAATAATAGACAGAATATAAAGCGAGCAATCGATCCCGAGGGGACGAGAGGGAGTCTTTTCTTTCTCCTTCGCGGAGCTGTTGGTTCGTTTTGATTAATCGTGGAGTCGAATAAAACGCGGGGCCATTAAATGTGATTGCTTGTCGTGCCCGGCACAAATCCTAATCGTACAATCAGTGGTCGAGATACTATATCGTATATACATATACATATATACATATATTTAAAAAAAAAACGAATAAAAAAAAAAAAACGAAGGGAAAAGGGATCGCTGATGTTTCAAGGGGGCGTCGATCGATCGATAATTGCGAGGTACATGTTATTCAGCGATCGAAGGTGTAGCCTGTACCGAAGTAAACCGTAAGCCGATGTTTGTATGTTGTATATGTTATGTATATGTACATATAATACGCGTAAACTGCAAATCTAGAGTAACTATTCGCTATTAAACGTAGGCACGTTCCAAAGACGTTCTGTGTCGCTGTGATTGGTACATAGACTCTAGGCAGTGTTCCACCGTTAGACGCGTAAATTAATTGTTAATCAGAGACGGGGACAGTCATCGCTGTCGAACGCGACATCGCACTCGTAATTCCACGTTTCTTCTTCGGTTCACTCTTTGGACTTCGTTCACACTGAAACTACCGAGCAGTTCGATTGACTTGAAATTCCTTTATAGAAACTCCAAGAGCGCATCTATTGAGACTCTAATTGATTTACAGTGCTCGTGTTGGTTAATACTAGAATTACCAGGGTCAAAATGACTAATTCCTGAGTTCTTCTTTTAGAATTACAGCAAAGGTACAGATACTTCTTTAAGAAACGATTAAACGAGCTGA